ACAAAGCATGGGCATTTTGCAATGTTCTTCGTACTGATGATGAGTCCCAAACTAGGACGAAACAGTTGTCCAGTACTCCCAGGTTTTCCAGTGTTTCTCTAACTGATATCAGCTCATGATGAAATCCTCCATGCAATCAAAAAAATGCCTACAAAACCAATACTTGAATATCCTTACTTCTATATTCTCAGGAAACGACCAACATATCCTTACAGATACAATTTCGTTATCCTCTTGCATAAACAAGCACATAATAAAATTACCAACAACGTAGTTTTTAACAGAGCAATGACGACTTATAATTCAGAGTATATTTGCTGTTAGTTATAACTTATATTGCGTTCAAAAAATTCACATAAGTAATATATACAATGATAATAAAAAGCTTTATGGGTTGATAACCAACATGGGTTTTTGATAAGAGCGAAAGGGCCTACTAAACGGACTATGAGAGAAAAAGAATGGAAATCATGAAAAGTGGAGAAAACTCTAGCTGGAAAATAATGTACGTTAGGGATCGGTCGGATGACAAAATATTTCACAGTGGCACTGAATTTAGGTTCCATAATAAAGGAAATCACCTGCTTATCAGTCTTGTTCTCGACCATTAAAAGTTCTCATCTATTCACACAGAATATGCAGATAGTATACATTACTTCCCTTATTAATATATTGCTAATCATTATATCCGATACCGTACGTTTACCCGGCCTATTATGTCAGAACATAAAACTGACGGAAATATGTTGCTTGAGAAACATAACTTTGGAGAACATTACAGTTACACTGAATGATTTAGTCGACAATTCTACTTATAATATCAGTGTGTGAATACAATTAAACCAATTAGATATTTGGCTGTTTGGTGGCAGTCGCCAAGAAGACCTGGATGTCGATTTCGGCCTTATCGTTACTCATCAACTATTCTGAATAAATAGCCCGAATAGTTTAGTAGTAACGTCTCTGAATGCAGAAGTGGATGATACCGGTTCAAATCTCCAAGGGTATTCACTTCCCTTAAGGTTTCAGAAACATCTTACCGAAGATTGCTAACGACCATGAAACCTAAGTTCACAGTTTACTGCCGACTACCTACGATCACTTAGCATGGTGACCATATTGGAAATCTGACCAATAGAATTCATTCAGCATCAACGCTGAGGACGAGACACGTGGTATCGTTTTTCTTGACACTCAAAAAAGATTTACTGCTTAATCATTATTTCCTCTCATTCCTAGAGGGATATAGGGCTTCAGCCACACGTCTGCATTGCGTTCAGTTTCACCTGGCTCCAAGTCTGTCCACATGCTTTCATCGCCTCTCCACATGACCTCCTCCAAGTCACCCTCACACTGACGACCAACTCGCCGCTTCCCTTTCGGGTTCCACTCCAGCAATGGCTTGTCTAGTGATGTCACTTGATGGTCTGTTTTCTCAGAGTATGGCCAATCCACCTAGCTCCATTTCTTCCTGTCTATTTGTTGCACAATCGGTTCCTCATGGGTTGGTTCGCTCATTGCCAGAGATCCCTGTTGCTGATGTTTTCTGGCCGGCCATCTGATCTTGAGTATTGAGCGAAGACAACTGTTAATGAAGGTCTGAAGTTTGTTCAAAGTGCCTTTCGTGACGCGCTGGCCAAGTCTCTGATCCGTATATTGAGTGGAAGTGACTTCACATTGGAGTTGAAAATCCGGATGTTATTTTTGATGCTGATTGCTGTTGACTTCCACACAGACTTAAGAGTAATGAAAGCCTGTCTTGCTTTTCCGATTCTGGCTTTGATATCCTCGTCAGTTCCGTCCACCTGTAGTTGAGACGATGCTTCCCAGGTAGGTAGGTAGGTAAAGGAGGTTGTTTCTTTCAGGTTCCTTCCATTTATACTGGCTGATTGTTGTCTGTTGTTGTTGCTGCTGTTGATGTTGGCTAGGAATCTTCATCACCTCTGTTTTATCTATGTTCACTTGAAGTCCTATCTTTGATGCTTCTTCTCCAACTTGTTACTTTTCACTTGCATATCTTCCAGTTTATGGGAAATCAGACATATATCATCGTATTTTTCTTCTACCTAATTCACTTTTCCACAAGCACTTCTAGTTTATTTTATTCTAACTTCTATTCGGCATTTTGATTTCGCTTAAAGGCTTATTCGATGAAACAGTTTTGACTTCCAGACATTATGTTCAATATTTTGTGATACGTCACATAAATCTTCACAATAATTTGGATATTTTTATACGCCCCCGTCTAATGACGTATATTTTCTTCTAGTTGCACAATCCACATTAAATACCTTTCAGTAGTGGCATTTAATTGATTAATATTTTTCAGGAAAGTATAATAAGCCCAGATCCTCTTCATATCTTACATACTGAGCCTTATAAAAATACCATCTTTTAAATGTTTCAGAATGAAATATATGGCAACTACATGAACCTTTTCAACAGCTGCTTTAGACAAAGTATCTTTTAAATATAGTAATACATCCTCACTTGCATGTAGGATTTCATCATGAGCTGACATCAGTTAGAGAACCACTGGAAAACAAGCTGGGAGTACTGGACAGCCGTTTCGTCCTAGTTTGGGACTCCTCAGCAATACTCACTCACCAGGGTTTGAACCCAGGACCTTCTGGTTACAAGGCGGCCTCGTAGACCATTAAGCCACTGGGACCCGATCCAATGGTTCTTGAATTCTAACTTCCGCCAAATCACGACAAAGCATGGGCATTTTGCAATGTTCTTCGTACTGATGATGAGTCCCAAACTAGGACGAAACAGTTGTCCAGTACTCCCAGGTTTTCCAGTGTTTCTCTAACTGATATCAGCTCATGATGAAATCCTCCATGCAATCAAAAAAATGCCTACAAAACCAATACTTGAATATCCTTACTTCTATATTCTCAGGAAACGACCAACATATCCTTACAGATACAATTTCGTTATCCTCTTGCATAAACAAGCACATAATAAAATTACCAACAACGTAGTTTTTAACAGAGCAATGACGACTTATAATTCAGAGTATATTTGCTGTTAGTTATAACTTATATTGCGTTCAAAAAATTCACATAAGTAATATATACAATGATAATAAAAAGCTTTATGGGTTGATAACCAACATGGGTTTTTGATAAGAGCGAAAGGGCCTACTAAACGGACTATGAGAGAAAAAGAATGGAAATCATGAAAAGTGGAGAAAACTCTAGCTGGAAAATAATGTACGTTAGGGATCGGTCGGATGACAAAATATTTCACAGTGGCACTGAATTTAGGTTCCATAATAAAGGAAATCACCTGCTTATCAGTCTTGTTCTCGACCATTAAAAGTTCTCATCTATTCACACAGAATATGCAGATAGTATACATTACTTCCCTTATTAATATATTGCTAATCATTATATCCGATACCGTACGTTTACCCGGCCTATTATGTCAGAACATAAAACTGACGGAAATATGTTGCTTGAGAAACATAACTTTGGAGAACATTACAGTTACACTGAATGATTTAGTCGACAATTCTACTTATAATATCAGTGTGTGAATACAATTAAACCAATTAGATATTTGGCTGTTTGGTGGCAGTCGCCAAGAAGACCTGGATGTCGATTTCGGCCTTATCGTTACTCATCAACTATTCTGAATAAATAGCCCGAATAGTTTAGTAGTAACGTCTCTGAATGCAGAAGTGGATGATACCGGTTCAAATCTCCAAGGGTATTCACTTCCCTTAAGGTTTCAGAAACATCTTACCGAAGATTGCTAACGACCATGAAACCTAAGTTCACAGTTTACTGCCGACTACCTACGATCACTTAGCATGGTGACCATATTGGAAATCTGACCAATAGAATTCATTCAGCATCAACGCTGAGGACGAGACACGTGGTATCGTTTTTCTTGACACTCAAAAAAGATTTACTGCTTAATCATTATTTCCTCTCATTCCTAGAGGGATATAGGGCTTCAGCCACACGTCTGCATTGCGTTCAGTTTCACCTGGCTCCAAGTCTGTCCACATGCTTTCATCGCCTCTCCACATGACCTCCTCCAAGTCACCCTCACACTGACGACCAACTCGCCGCTTCCCTTTCGGGTTCCACTCCAGCAATGGCTTGTCTAGTGATGTCACTTGATGGTCTGTTTTCTCAGAGTATGGCCAATCCACCTAGCTCCATTTCTTCCTGTCTATTTGTTGCACAATCGGTTCCTCATGGGTTGGTTCGCTCATTGCCAGAGATCCCTGTTGCTGATGTTTTCTGGCCGGCCATCTGATCTTGAGTATTGAGCGAAGACAACTGTTAATGAAGGTCTGAAGTTTGTTCAAAGTGCCTTTCGTGACGCGCTGGCCAAGTCTCTGATCCGTATATTGAGTGGAAGTGACTTCACATTGGAGTTGAAAATCCGGATGTTATTTTTGATGCTGATTGCTGTTGACTTCCACACAGACTTAAGAGTAATGAAAGCCTGTCTTGCTTTTCCGATTCTGGCTTTGATATCCTCGTCAGTTCCGTCCACCTGTAGTTGAGACGATGCTTCCCAGGTAGGTAGGTAGGTAAAGGAGGTTGTTTCTTTCAGGTTCCTTCCATTTATACTGGCTGATTGTTGTCTGTTGTTGTTGCTGCTGTTGGTGTTGGCCAGGGATCTTCATCACCTCAGTTTTTTCTACGTTCACCTGACGTTTTATCTTTTCTGAATGCTTCTTCTCCAACTTGTTGCTTTTCACTTGGACATCTTCCAGTTTGTGTGAAACCAGACATATATCATCGGCGAAGTCCAGATCCTCCAAGTTTTTTGAGTGAGTTCATTTTATGCATCACCGTTTTACAGTTAGCTAACAAGTAATCTAAATTCAACAACGCTGGTCAACAAGTATTCAGTGCATAAATTTTACAACTATCGTGTTATTAAACAGCAGTGAATATGTATTGGAACTTGTTTATGTGATGTCTAAGAAGATAGTAAATTGCTTCTACATTAAAAACCAAGTTTAAACTTACCGTAAATACAAAATTTCCATAGATAATTTATAGCTATTTTAATATTCTCTTTAGATTCACATTTCATCATTTCTATAATATGACGAGATAAATTAATTTTTCTTAGTTTTTTAAATATACTATCGTAGGTTTTTAAATAGCCTTGTACAATATCCATATTGACAGTAAAATGTTTCGCATTAATTAGATAATCAAAAAATGAGAAGCCTAAATTTTGTATACTAGTATGATAAAAGTATTTTCGCATTACTGATAGAACAGTATTCAAATTTTTTGTTTTCCAAAATTTTTTCAAATCATTAATTTCTTTAGGTAAAATTTTCATTATATCACTACCATCTGCACAAGTATATCGTGTACGTGTTAGTAAACACTCCATTTGTCCAGTTTCAACAGCATGAACTAATATAGTTAAGCATGATGTAACAATTGATAGATTGTATTGATGCAAATGCATTAACTTGAATAATAGAAATGGTAATTCTGATGGTAATTTAATGTCTTTATCGACTCCAATGCATTCAGCAAACCAACAAACAGCCTTCTGTGCACAATTTTCATGTTTCCAGTTGTTGATTAAATACGTCATTTTAATATCTTCAGAATGATTAATTGGAAATGGTCCTTGCACACAAAACAAAACAAAACACGAAACATACCCATAAATAATAAAAAATTTATAATTCAAATTTTTAATTAGTGTTTTATTGAAAATGGTGGTTTTAACTTTGAAGATAAGTTTTCCATAAGATTCAAAAGAATTCAAATGAAACCTGACTTAGTATTCATAATGATGGTCTGTAGAATAATAAACACTAGAAAATTTGCCGACTTTTAGCTTAATTTATCGTAAAATTGATTAAATAACTTGGCAGTAATATATGGACTTTAGTTGTCACACACCTATGTAACTTAGAAGCAGGGAATAGAAAACATAAATTATGCTCCCATTATGATATAGAAACCTATTTATTGGTAAAAGGGTTCGAAACAACCCTAATGAACGTGGTAGGATTCTTTAGGTTCAGGTCTGGAATTCACAAGTTTATTATGCATATTTTATTTTTATACAATTACTCCCTAAACCTGTAAATACCTTAAATTCAACAAAATGTCTGGTGTTTAATTTACAAAGTTGTTTCATTCGGCTTGTATGTATGTTATACAAACGTTTGTTTATATCTAATATGTGAGAATTACATTTCAATCTTTCCGCCTGTACATTCCTACCGAATTTGCAGTAGCTTTTAGATCACTGCTTAAACCTATATAATTTATTTTTAGTCAAGAATTTATTGATAAACACTTGGCATTTTAAGTATATCTTGTTAAACAGTCATATTTTATCACATAAAAGTAATAGACCTTCGTAAAAATGATATTTTTAAATGTATACCCTTAAAGTCGAGAAAACGAGATTCAGTAACATTCAATGGAAAATAAAATAACAAACTGAAAAATTCAAAATACACCAGTAGTAGATACAACACGATAACTCAAGTGATTTACACTTTACACTGTAGTGTCATTGTCTCAGTGATAATGTTGTGACCAAGATAATCCTGAATTTCGGTATGTTCTAACTTCTACTTCAATGCATAACATTACGTGACTGCTTACATATGACAAAAAATCCAGTGATGTGACCTTTACGCTAAACTAGGGTCGAATGTCTGTTTTACACATCATGTAGGCAACTCTTATTTATAATGTGTTTCTTCCTGTCCGAACACCTTCCTTTTTAAGAGGAAAATAAGGTTTCGGTCGGATGACCACTTGAAGATACTTGGTCAGTTATAGTACTCTCTGTTGCCTTCGTAGTACTGGTGACTGTAATTCCTGTTTTTCTGACAGCTTAACAGCTTCTGAAAACCTTTCTACAACTGCGTAGGACACTGATCAGGTTGTTTGCACGTCTGTCAGCAGATTTTTGGGAAGGTGCATATATCTTTGAATAAAGTGAATTTAAGCATATTACCCAAAGAGATAGTTTATAAATACAGTCAATACCCTATAGGTGCAGGTCCTGATTGTATGTAAGATAACAAAAACCACCTGTCCAAACAAAAACAATCATAATAATTGTTCAATTTTCTTCTTTAACATCTACCTGGTAAACTCTACATCTTCAGCATAAAAACTTCATCATAATTTTTCAACATAAGCCATTTACGTAGTCTCAGTCACAGTTATGTGCAACACGTAAGACGAAAATTATATAGACTTCACATTATCCTTTTTTACTAACAAAGCGAGAGAAGCTATGAAAGTCATTTACTGATAATCGTACTGATTGCAATCATTGTTCAGTATTTACAAAAATTGCTACATATATTCACCATAAAGGATTTTTTGGTTTAAAAGTAAGTAAAGTTTACTTTACTGTTGAACATACACATGTCTACCTGATTTCATGCTTTAAAAGTTAGATTTTCAAAAGACATAAATAGTGTTGCAGGCCTATACTTTTCATGTACTATCCTGCTAGAATGTATATATATTTTAAAATGTACTTGAAATTGACTAATGTAAAGGCAAAAAGAGGACACCAGTATGACAGTTATGTATTGTCCACTGAATAGAGATAAAGGAGTAAAACAAGAATTTTGGTGGTAAAGTGATGCTACCTCAAAAACTACTTACTATCGGCTTCTGTAACAATCAGTCGTTTTGTTCTCATTATAGATTCAGAATTTGTTTGTTTCAGTAGTGCTTGAACGAATACATCCTTCAGAAGATCACTAAAACGTGAGTGAAGTAAAAAAAAACAGCAAAGGTACTTGAGATGATAAGGTGGGTTGCTGCAGTCATCACGCGATCATTTTATAAATGTCTATATAGGTGCTAGTATTGAAAAGACGACATTTAGTGACTATCAGAGACTTTGAATAGTGAATAAGACTAGACAAACTTAAAGACTTCAGAAATAAACGGCTTATCATACATTATGTCTGAGACAAATTTATCCATCTAGAACATGAATAACAAACTCTAAGCCACAGAGTTTTATAAACAAATAACGAAAAATCCTGCTGCCTACAAGATGGTTGGTGAGTATGTTTACCTAACAAAAGAGGTTAGTAATGTTATAAACAGCTAACCTAGTTCAAGACAATTTGGGTGGAAGTCTATAAATAAAAATTTAATTAGATGGAAATATTGGGTCAGTTGTATGCATTTGTATTTGAGCACATATTTTACCATGGAATTTAAATGTTGAAAATCTCCGCGTTATCACTAAAAAAGAGTAACTCTTTGCTGGACACTTTTTCTTTTAAAACTCCACATGACCTTATAGAATTTTTAAAAGTTGTCTTCTAAAAAGGGACAAAGAATTTTCGATGTGTCTTAAACAAAAAAATGTGGAGCGATTTGTGTTCAAATACTACTAAGTTATTTTTCCTTCGAAAGAGACCAATGCGCGAAATAAATCATATCCAGTGAAATAAAATTATTGGTCTGCGAAATCAGTAATATCTCTGTATTTCAGTGGGTTTAATTTTATCCCGTTTCCCCCAAGAAAATGCGTTAGGTTCAGATTTATTAACGATGAGGTAAAGTTAGTATGTTTCCAAATTCAATAACTTTCTGTCGGAAATTAGTCAGTGGTCCTCTTCAAATGGTCTTAAGCCGAATCAGTCTAAATGTCAGGTAGTCAATTTCACTTTCAGACGTAAACGTGACCTACAGCAACTAGTTAGCCCACATGGCCCCACTATCATTCACGGCACAGAGGTTGAAAATACATCTAATGTCAAGTACCTTGGGCTGAGTTTTTCCACCGATCTTTCCTGGTCCTCCCACATCTTGCTAGTTACTAGAAAGATGTTTCGCTTAACGTTCTACATTAGGAAATTTAGGCAGTCTGGCATAAAGCAGTCTTTGCTTTCTCAGTTTGTAAATTCTTGTATTCTACCCATCTCCCTTTACTGCTCCCCATTAATCTTTCTTGGACTACTTAAGAAAGACTTTGCTTGGCTGAGAAGGGCAGGCACTAAAAGCCGTTAGTAGGGCAAGTGGAATATCGTTAACTCAACTGGTTAACACTATCGTGGATAGACAGACATATAATGTCATGTAAGAAACTAGCGAATACAATATTGACAGACCCCGAGCATCCTCTCTATACGCAGCTATCTCCTTGCATTTCATCTGGTAGAACAAGAAGCAGCTATAGGAGGCTATATGCTAGGACTACCAAGTATAAAACTTCACAATACCATATCTGGCACAGCTGTTATGTGATGAGAAATCCGTTAGGTATGACACGATAAACTTACCACGGCACTCTAACAAATAATCCCATCAGTTTTTGTTTTCCTTTCCTCGTTACTGTTACACTGTTTTTCTCATCTTCTATCACACATCAACTTTATATTTCATACCCTGTGGTGCATTGTTTGAAATGTAAACGCTACGCTGTTTTTTTAAATTTTTATTTATCTTTTATTCTTTTTTGGCGTTGTTTTTTTTACTTTTTATTTATTTTTTTGATTTTAAAAATCTTATAAAATTTATGAGGTAATTAGATGCAATATATTGTAATGCACGCTGAAAATTCCATACTTGTGCCACAAATACTGTTTGGAATAAAGCTGTTAATATTTTAAAAAAAAATTCTCGAGCATTTACAACAGTTATTATTCCTGGCCAGTATACCTGTAAATATGAATATTATTATTATTGTTCCCTTGAGTTCCTAGTGAAACATTGGGCTTCAACTGCACATCTCCACTTGATTCTGTCTTCCTTCTGCTGTACTTCTCACCTGCATCCATGTTAGTCCATACTCTTTCAACTCCTCTTCACACCATCTCCTCCATGTCACCCTCGCACTGACGGCCCTTTTCGCCGCTTCCCTTCCGGCCTGGTTCCACTCGAGCAGTGGCCTGACGCGCGCGCGATTTCGCCCAGCGGCCTCCTCAGCGAGTGTCCAATCCATCTTCACTTTCTCCTGCATATTTGTTGGTTGGCGATTGGTTCTTGTTTTGTTTGTTCCCATAGTTTCTTGTTGGTGATTCTTTCCGGCCCGGACATCTGATCTTCAGTATAGAGCCAGCGAAGACAGTTGTTGGTTGATAAAGGTAGCGTCTGCAACAGGCTGTTGGAAATATTCTTTGTGACCCGCCCGCCCGCCAAGTTTCTGATCCGTATAGAAGAACTGACTTGTATTGACGTTTGTATTGCAAATCCGATCAAACTTTGTTGTTGATGCTGGCTGAGTGACGAAGACTTCCAGATTGGTTTCAGGTTGATGAATGTGTTTCTCGCTCGCCTTCCCGATTCTCGCTCGATTTGACATACTTGTCCGTTCCTACTCCCTGTAGTTGAGACAATGCTCCCTAGATAAGTGAATGAAGTAACCTGGAGTCCTGTCTTCGCCGGCTGCTTCTTCGACCAGTTTGTCGGTTTTTCGCTTGTAAGTCTTCGATTTTGTGTGGCATCAAGCATAAATCATCCACGCGCGAAATCCAGGTCTTCTAGGTTCATCACGTCGGTCCAGGATATCTCTGTCTGCTCGTTTCTCACTGTCTGCTGCATAATCACTGGGATTCAAATCCCAGTGGGTGCGTACTGCCGATGATTCCCAAACTGGGATGAAACAGCAGCTGTCCAGTACTCTCTGGTTTTCAATGCTTCTCTAACTGATTTCGATCCGTGATCAACTCGTAAAAACATAACCAACCCTTAAAAAACAAGCTATAGAAAAATTTGGAAACTACTTCGACACTACAGCGTGCAGTGCCCAAATTTTTATCAACCTCATTCAACAGCTCGCTATATGACAATGCTACATGTCAGGTGATCCACAACGGAAAACTCGGAAAGGTGTCGGGAAGGTGAAGTGAATGCAGAAGTAAGACAAAGCGGGCTGCCTATTGTCAGCGATGATATTCTTAGTTGTAGTAAACTGAATTATGCATCATACTGTGGGGAGTGAGAAGACAGGAATAATTAGTTGAATAAGTTATCGAATTCAGTTTAGCAATTTGATAAACACAGAACTTTTGATTGCAAAATTATTTTTGTATTTCGATAGTATTGAAGTTAAATATTTACTTTACAAGGTCATTCGATCCGTTTTTAAAGATTTCTTAATTCTGAATCTTCAGTATTACTTCCAATACCTCTTGATACTTGAATTTACACTATAAAAGCATATTGTCATTGTTAGAATTTCAAATTTTTCTATTTTGGAACTGAAAATCGATATAAAGGGCTAAAAGGTTTCAACAATAGTGCAGACTGATTTACCTGTTTATTTTTTCTTAAATCTTAAACATTTTCATTAGTCCTTATTTTAGTATTTATTCTCACACTACTGTTTATTTGTTATAGTATGATTTTGTTTATGATTCTTTTCTTTCAATGTGCCATCTGAAAATCTGACAGCTTGAACTGATGCACTTCTGCCAAACGTCTTCTCTTCATTTGTTAGTCAGTAGTCACATGCTCCCTAGTATGACTCTTACTAGTTACATAGTTTCGATTTAAATGCCAACACAGTAATAATTTTCAAAATATTTTAAGGTACTTACATTGATCTATGCATTTTTCGAGAAAAATAATGTTATTTCTTTGAAATATACATTTGGAGGAATAATACAGAAGCTTGTATAAATGCACTTTAACTTTACCATTTATTGTCGAACTGTAATACAAATTATTTTTTGTGTGAGATTTTAACAGGAGTCAGTCCACAAAAGATGGTGAATATAGACTTATTGATTGTTAGTATAATCTTCAAGTGTTGAGTTTTTAGGGATTGTGTTTGATTAGCTGGAGAATTTCCTCATGAGCTGAAATCAGTTAGAGAACGATTGGAAAACCTGGGAATACTGAACAGCTGTTTCGTCCAAGTTTGGGACTCTTCACCATCAGGACTAGGATGAAACAGCTGTCCAGTATTCCCAGGTTTTCCAATAGTTCTCTTATGGATGTCATCTCATGAGGAAATCCTCCAAACAATAAAACTGTAACCATTACTGTAATAAGAGCAACTTGTGTGTACTAGTTTTTTTTACCAATGGTGACCTATATAAAAGCTGGATTGCGTAGCTCTTAAAACAAAATTACCCACAAAATGAATCTTTCGACTCTCAATTTACTCTTAGTGTGGTGAATAATGAAGCATAGAGTAGATTCCATTTTACAGATAAGTAGGCGATTAAAAAGTAGCATATTGATAGGTGTGAAGATTGCTGCCCACTGCAGAATTCAGCAGAACTGTTCGAGGCAACAATTATATGATGCTCATTCGACTGTGCATGGGTAAGCTATGAAGCAATGAGTAGTTATTAAATGTGACTTGTGAATCAACATTTTATTTGAAAAAAGATATATTTGGCCTTTTGGCATTGAAAATTATAATCTTGAAATCATCTGACTCTATGAATTACGTTCCCCATTTCACTTTTCTTGGTATCATTAATACCGTCAAATAGGTCAATATACTGTGGTCCGAATACCTTACATTTTCAAAGAAAATCATAATGAGATTTCATCACAGACTGTCTAATCTACTAATTTAGTTTTATATTCTTTATATTATTAGCTTGCCCAAGCAACCAATGACAACTTGGATGATTTAAATTGATTTGGTTCTTTAAGTCGAATATATTTTTAAAATCTTGTAGTAACTTTAATCTAATGAATTCCCAAGGAATTGGGAAATTTTCTTGACAGCGTTATTTCTTATACATTATGGTCTTCAGGATGGCACCCATTAGTATCTTTAATTTTATAGTCGAACATTAGCAACTCCTGAATACATTCTATTTTTCTCTAATAAATCCAGTTAACTATTTAAAAATGCATTGAGTCATTTTATATCCTTCTTATTGATCTGTCATCAGTCTACTTCAATCTTAAGTGAGGACAGGAATAGTTACAGAATACTTTATTCGCAAAACTCCATAAATATTACTATTACCACCGACAGAAGAAGTATCCCCTGAGCTATTCATCTATTATAGTGATGAGTGGGAGAACTGTTTTTTGAGTTAATTCTTTATTTACTCTTGTTAGTTTTCTGTGTATAAGCTAACAGTATAAAAACTAACTAATAAGTTCTCCTCATTAATTCTGGCATTTTTATATCATTTTTGGGGTCTGGTCTTAACCGTAGTAAATTATAAAGGGCTGTCAACAATTTATATTAAGAGTCAGTGTAAATGGAGGCAGAAATACAAAATTTATAAAAATGTGTTTCATGTTAGAGATGAGAAACATACTATCGATTTGATAATAGTTCAATATGAAGTGAAGTATGAAATAAACGCAAAGGCACCAATAACACAATCAACGCGTTTCTACCTTTTGACTCTGAATACTACAAGCACGTAAGAAGACAAAATAATTCTCATTCAGTTGAAATTCTATGTTTGTCAAATAAGCTGACTAATAAGAGAGAAAGATTATTTATTTGTTAAATGTGCGAGCACAGATTCGATTGGTAAAGTCGCCATAAACAGCGATTTTTCTTTGAAACACTAACAAAATCGAAAAGTTTATCGTTGTGTATAAGTTTTCATTGCAAATTTATTGATAGAATAAAGTAAACATAATACACTTTTCTCAGGAGAAGGGTTGTTTCACCTCCATCATACGACAAAACCATAGATAGAACTAACTTACCTAAGAGTAATTCTCTCATTTGGATTGATTTTCATCATTTTGGAAATTAAAGTGAGTAGTTCTTTATGTGTCTCCTAACAAATAAAAGAAAAAAAAACAATTTTTATCACAGCAATAATACTTACTTACACAACTTTGATAACAAAACCTTTAGTTCATTCTTTTTAAAATATTTTTTTAGTTAGAACATTAGATAGTTGTAAAAAGGGTATTGTTTCGTAACATCCCTGGTCACTCAATATGTAAGGAGAATTCATTCAAAATCATTTACAACGTCAAAAGAAGCCTCCCCAAAACAGTAAGCTTCCGCATACTTGGCATTGCCGAAGCCTTAAAGATCCTGATGGAAAACCCTGATTGATGTACACAGTAGAAACTTCTCCATCCTCTTCTTCTACCCTGGGCATAATCCTCAGCTCGGCTACTTTGTTACCACTACTATTTGTGAATTTTTGCATGACATTTTAATAACATCCTTTCTTTAACTAACCACTTTATTTACTCGTTCTACCTATTACATAATTTAAATAGGACATTTGTCTCCAAGTTCTTTCATTAACATCCTAAGCTTCATATTACGTAGTCTTTATCAATACTTACCGATGTTCACCCCCCCCCCAGTAAAAATCTGGTTATTCATCACATTCTTTGAAATATTTCGATGACTTAAATAATAAACCTAATACCTTGAGTCGGTGGCACAGCGCTAGAATGCTCGCCAACCACACATGTGGTTTTGGATTCTATCCCCGGCCGTCACTCTCCTTTACTTCGCTAAGCCAGTAATAAGACTGGTAAAGAGGAAAGGTTGCACATGAGGTTAGCGACCACATCCCGTAAAAGTAAACACCACTGCTATCGAAACTTCAAGCCTTTAGCTCGAAACCCTATGTTCCATTGGGAACGTAAAGGAATAAATTATTATTATTTATTATTATTATATCCTTTAGTTCCTAGAGGAACATAGGGCTTCAGCTGCGCACCTCCATTGCCTTCTGTTTTCTGCCAACTTTCTCACCCCACTCCAAGTCTGCCCGCATGCTTTCATCGCCTCTTCACATGACCTCCTCCAAGTCACCCTCACACTGACGACCAACTCGCCGCCTCCCTTTCGGGTTCCAATCGAGGGATGGCTTGTCTAGTGATGTCACTTGATGGTCTGTTTTCTCAGAGTATGGCCAATCCACCTAGCTCCATTTCTTCCTGCCTATTTGTTGCACAATCGGTTCCTCATGGGTTGGTTCGCTCATTGCCAGAGATCCCTGTTGCTGATGTTGTCTGGCCGGCCGTCTGATCTTGAGTATTGAGCGAAGACAACTGTTAATGAAGGTCTGAAGTTTGTTCAAAGTGCCTTTCGTGATGCGGCGCCAATTCTCTGATCCGTATAGTAGCACTGACTGACTTCACATTGGAGTTGAAGATCCGGATCTTATTTTTGATGTTGAGTGCTGTTGACCTCCACACAGATTTGAGAGTAATGAAAGCTTGTCTTGCTTTTCCGATTCTGGCTTTGATATCCTCGTCAGTTCCGTCCACCTGTAGTTGAAACGATGCTTCCCAGGTAGGTAGGTAGGTAAAGGAGGTTGTTTCTTTCAGGTTCCTTCCATTTATACTGGCTGATTGTTGTCTGTTGTTGTTGTTGTTGCTGTTGGTGTTGGCCAGGGATCCTCATCACCTCTGTTTTTTCTATGTTCACCTGACGTCTTATCTTTTCTGAATGCTTCTTCTCCAACTTGTTGCTTTTCACTTGCATATCTTCCAGTTTATGGGAAATCAGACATATATCATCGGCGAAGTCCAGATCCTCCAAGTCTTTTGTGTCAGTCCATTTTATGCCTGTTCTCTCGTTGGTTGCCGTTGTCTGTCGCATTATCCAATCAATTGCAATCAGGAAGATCATTGGTGATAGTAGACAGCCTTGCCTCACTCCCGTCCTCACTTCGAAGGCTTCCGCAAGTTTCCCGTTGTGGATTACTTGGCATGCAGCATTGTCGTATAACTGTTGGATGAGATGTATAATTGTCGATGGGACCCCGTAGTAGCGAAGTAGTTTCCAAATCACCTCTCGATCGACACTGTCTGTCGAAGGCCTTTTCAAAGTCGATGAAGTTGAGTGAGGTGGAGAGGTGACTGCCATTCCAAGCTTTGTTCAATGATGATCCGTAGAGTGGCGATTTGATCAATACATGATTTGTTCCTCCTGAATCCGGCCCATTCCGGACGAAGTTTTTCATCCAGGCTGGCTTGTTTGATTCTCTCCAGGATGATGCGACTTAGTATCTTGCTTGGAATGGACAGAAGCATAATTCCACGTCAGTTTTTACATTGACTTAAGTCTCCTTTCTTTGGAAGTTTGAATAAGTATCCTTTCTTCCAATCCTCGGGTACTTTGCCCTCTTTCCACACCTTCTGCAGTAGTGGTGTCATCAAGTCCGCTGTTGTCTCTGGGTCTATTTTCAATGCTTCTGCTGGGATTCCATCTGGCTCTTCTGCTCTTCCCGCTTTTAGCATCTTGATTGCATCCAGGACTTTTGATTTCATCGGGGGAATAAATGAAATAAAAAAATTTTTTTAAACAATAACCCTAATTATTTTTTATTCCTGTCTGACAAACTTAATTTACACACACAAATAATTATATATAATTGCGACTCTCCAGCTAGGTGAATGAATTCGCCGAAAAAAATACTCTTCGATGGACTGTTTGTTCTTATATTCATGTCTTGATAGGTATTTTTCGTGAATATTTCAGAACAAACCAACATATTATAAATTTGGATAATGCTTTAATTCTCAGTCGGAATTCGTCTTGATTGTCTTCAGTATTATTGTAATGTCTTACAGCTCCTTCATCACTGGTAATTTTCTTAATCACCAAAACCACATCTAGTAATTCTACACCTTAAAACCGTTGTCTATAATATCAAAAGAAGTGTGTATTTAAAGTTAAACAAATTAAATGCATATTGTTTTACTGTAACACCACTCAGTTGGTTGTTTTCATGGATCTTTTTGATTGGACACTAGTCAGTAACTAGTGTAATGTGTATGTCTAGTCCTATCTTTGATGTAGACTAAATTTTATTAGTCAAGTTTCCAATGTGGCCACCATGCTGCTACTAGGTGGCTCGCAGTCAATCTGCACTGTAAATTATTGGTATTAGATAGTTGGAGGCAATCGGGAGGAAGCCTTGGATCTAGGTTTCCTGCTAGATGGCAATCATCAGCAAGGCGTATCTACAACCTTTAGGGAACCCATATGCCCCTTGAGATCCAAGCCCGAGTCACCCAAAGATTGAACTAGACACACACATTACACTAGTTACTGACTAGTTTCCAATCAAAAATATCCAATACATTCCCAAAGGAGGTCGACATTGAGCCTGAATAGCTCAGTGGTGACGTCTCTGACTGCAACACTAGGTGACACGGGTTCGAATCTCAGAAGGGACATGAATTCCTTCAAGGTTGTACATACGCCTTGCTGATGAGCTCCAACTAGTACGAAACCTAGGTGGAAAGCTTCCTCCCGATTGCCTTTAACCATATAATACCAACATTTCTTAGGTCTTTTTTCCTATGTGGATTGATTTTTTTTTATTATAGCTTGAAACCACACAGCATTTTCGGTACAAGTATGGAATTTTCAGCATGTGATATCGGTAGCCCAAATTTTGCAGGCCAACCATAGATATCAGGTGTGCGGCGGCAGGGGATCGAACCCAAGACCATGTGAATGGTCGGCAAGAGTCCTAACCGCCGTGCCAGCGACGCACCTAAAATAATAGTGACTTTTTATAATCAAATGTTAGTACACTAATTAAAGCTTCACCACCGCCTTACCAGAAATAATGCATGAATGATATTGAAACGCTCTTTTAATCTGTACACCAATTAGAATTCAGTAATACAATATCAGAGTATTTAGTCATAATCATTATTAATTAAGTAATGACTTTGTTAACATATATATATGGATATATCCAATCATCAGACAGACAAAACAACGCAAACTGTAGAAGTTCCTGTTTTGTTTAAAACAACTTTATGTATCTCTATATCATTTTTACTGTCCATTTTATTTTGTTTGTTTTTTACAGATGAATTGTCTATTGAATAAATACTAATTGGTTTTCGTATGATCTGAAATCAATAAGTACTATTTTTTTTTAAATATCTATAGCAGTAGCTCAAAACGTTAATCAAATTAACGTCATAGAGAATCAGTTGGCTAAATGAGTATCAGAGACGTAATAGTGACAATTATTAATATTATTATTATTACTACAAAAATATTTGTGCATTTAATCGCTCCGTCAACAGTATGAATACGGGAAGCAATACATGTTTTGTAAAGATCTAAATAGTCTTTTTTTACTTAGTAATTTATCATCAACTGTCGCCGTAGACAGTATGCATATTTACTGTTGTTTAGTATACATTAAAAAAAATAAGCACCATTATGGCTGTTTGTAAATTATAAACTACATTAATTTTTATCATTTTTTTTTCTATCAATAGTTAACTCATAATAAGTACTAAAAACATTTCAGTCAACTTCTCATAAACGTTTGGTTTAGTAACATATTTACCGGAAATGATCGACAAAGGAACAAATTACAAAGTATGTACTTATGTACAGGTCTTTGGTTATGTGAACGATTTCATTTATGTCCTCATCAGTGTAGCTTATATACAATGTGGAGGAAAATGTAATTCCCAAATTAACTCGATTTTATCTTACCTACCGATGATTTAACGATCAGTAAAAACCTTTTTCAGGATGTACTTTTTATATTTAGATATGATGGTGAAGATATCTGGCTCAGATGGATGACTTTGATGTAGTTGTGTTCTTTCGGCAGGATGGTTTATTTGTGAAGCTTTCATTGACCTACTAGGCAACATTTTCAGCGCATATTTCAATTTGTCGAAGTGAGTTTTTAGAGTTATCCACGAGTTAATTAGTCATCTCCTTTGGTGACCTTGTTTTTACACCCTCTAGGCTACTTGTGTTGGTACTGATTGTTTCCTTGACTTGAACTTCGACCCTTTATGTGGGAAATCTCCTTCT